CCTGTTGTGTGGGTAAGCTCCAAGACTTCCTTTTCGGAGCACTTGCAGAACCTTGGGACGAGCCGTTTGTGGCTCCCTCAGTGGCGATGGGCAGTAGCTCTGGCCCTTCCCTTTGCTCCAAAGGGTCCCCCTCCCCCCCTGGAAAAGACCCAGGAGTTTCAGCAGAAAAGTCCCGCTAGAGCGGAGTTGGTCGATGTGCCGACGCAGGACACGACCGTTGTCCAGGGCAACCTCGTAGGAGAGAGGACTGTGATCCTGGACACAGAAGCGGGGACCCATGTATGACCAGGCCCGTAATTGCGAGCCCAAACCGGGGCCCCACAAGTAGTTGTCTAGGTGCCCTAGATGTGAGGTAGATGAAGGCAGTCTGTCCGGATGCACCGGTCAAGTCGTAGTAAGTTGGCGCCCCCAACGAAGTCAGCTGGACTCTCCCTGTAGAAGTGGACGGTGTGGTGCGATAAGAAAGGAGAAAGTCAGCCAACCTGTGATGCCAGTCCCCGTAGGTGAGTCTCTTCAAGGCGTCCTTTGCGATGCGCACCATGCGTTCAGCCATACCGTTGGTGGATGGGTGAAAAGGCGCAGATGTGGCATGACGAATCAGGTTTGCCTGTAAGAAAGCTTGGAATTCGGAGGAGGTGAATTGAGGGCCGTTGTCAGACACAATGACATCTGGCAGCCCGTGTGCAGCAAAAATCCCCCTCAGTACCTGAATAGTCTTTGCAGTGGTGGTGGATGAGACAGGCACAACCTCAAGCCATTTTGAATGGCTGTCAACAAGGACCAAGAAGAACTGGCCCTGAAAGGGCCCAGCGTAGTCAATGTGCACCCTAGACCATGGGGACTGTGTTTCCTCCCATCTATGCACAGGAGCTTGGGGCATCTCTGGGCGAGATCGTTGGCACAGGTGGCATGCGTGTACCTTAGCCTCAATATCTTTATCTAAAGCAGGCCACCACAAGTGGGCTGCGTGCAAGAGCCTTCATACGAACAATGCCAGGATGACCCTCGTGGAGGGATTCTAAGACCCTAGTCCTCATTGAGGTGGGAATGACAACTCTGTTTCCCCAAAGCAAACAACCCTGAGAAAGGGACAATTCGTTCTTTTGGACCAGAAATCTGAAACTCAGGACTAGGGCAGTGCTCAGGCCACCCGGACAGGACCCAGGAGCGGACACGTGAAAGTGTGTGATCTGTACCCTGTTTTCAGCGGTAACATCCCCTGGGCACTAAGAGGAAGCTCGGGTAAGGCTTGGATTGATAGAATGTTGACAGCTGGCGCGGGGTCAGCTTCTACTACTGGCAGAGGCAACCTACTGAGGCCATCAGCATGGCCCATTTCTTTCCCAGGCTTGTGGAGTAATGAAAAATCATATGCAGACAAAAAAATAGACCACCTAAGCATTCTAGGGGAAATGATGTGGGGAGTCTGCTTACGTGTGGTAAACAGTCCCAGCAGAGGCTTATGGTCAGTGAAGACCGTGAAATGCCTGCCATATAGAAAATCGTGGAATTTTTTAATTCCAGCAACAACAGCCAGAGCCTCCCTGTCTATCTGAGCGTAGTTGCGCTCGGCAGAAAGACAGTGTTCTGGAGTTAGTATGCAATAGGAACCTGAGGTTCCATCAGACCTGAGGTGACTCAGGACAGCTCCCAACCCGTAGGGGGATGCATCACAAGCGATGCACACAGGAGAGACTCGTTGAAATGTGCAAGAACACTTGGCTGTGTTAGAAGAGAGCAAGGCCTTTGCTGTCTTTTATTAAAGCAAAAGGCCTCATGGCTTGGACCACACAGCCACACTAGTTGTTTGTCTAGTAAGTCTAGCCTGTGAAGAGGCTCAGTAAACAGCTTTATGTGGAAAGAAAAGAATTGTAGAAATTCAGGAGGCCTAAGAAGGCTCTGAAGTTCGGCCTTAGACTTTGGCCTGGGTGCTTATAAAATAGCAGTTAGTTTGGATTCAGCAGGATGAATCCCAGCAGCATCAATTTTGAATCCCAGAAATTCAGTAGAAGGCACCCCAATCTTGCATTTGTCTTTTCTGAGCTTAAGGCCTGATTTCCTGAATCTTAACAGGACAGCCCTAAGCCTTTCAGCTAGAATGTGTGTGGAGTCTCCTGCAATCAAGACATCGTCAAAGTAGGGGCAGACCCCTGGTATACCTCGTAGTGTGTTTTCCATTACGCTTTGGAAAATCCCAGGAGCGACATTCACTCCAAACTGTAGCCTTTTTACCTTAAAGGCTCCCCTGTGGGTCACAATGGTCTGAGCTATGGCAGCATCATCATCAACAGGCAGCTGTTGATATGCTTGAGCTAGGTCAAGCTTTGCAAAACACGCCCCCCCTTGAGAGAGGCCAGGATGTGACTGACCACAGGAACAGGATAGGCATGTTGCTGCAATGCCTTATTGAGTGTGCATTTGTAATCAGCACAAATGCGAATGTCCCCATTTGCCTTTAGAGGCGTGACAATGGGGGTCTCCCATGGGCTGGAATCAACAGGTTCTAGGATTCCTTGTTGGATTAGTTTGTCTAATTCAGTGTCAATCTTACTTTTTAAAGCAAAAGGGACCCTTCTTGCTTTAATCCTAATGGGAGTGACAGTGGGGTCTAGCTTTAAGGACACAGGTGGTCCTTTGAATGTGCCCAGCTGGGGGCTGAAAACATCTGCAAATTCCTTGCAGACTTCCTGTAGGTCGAGTGTTTGTAAGCTGTTGAGTCCTGTGACGTGTATCCCCAGGGCCTCAAACCAATCGAGTCCTATGAGACTCGTTCTTTCACCCCCTACTACTAACAAGTCTAGTGGACCTTCAAAACTCTTGTATTGCACGTTAAGGGTGGCCTCCCCCTTAACACACACTCTTGAGTTCTGAAAATCAGTTAATACAATATCAGAAGGCCTTAACTTGGCCTTAGTCCCACTACTGGAACAAATCTTCCTAAATGTATGCAATGAAATGATGGAAAGGGCGGACCCTGTGTCTAGTTCCATAGATAATGGAACCCCTTGTAGCTTCACGTTGAGTGACAGCTTTTTCTTCATGGGCTTGTGTGTGCCTGTCCTACAAATGTTTCTACGCGAAGCGCAAAAACCTACCCTATTCTGGCTGGGGACTCTGGTACCCTTCAGGCGTTCTTCTTGAGGTTGTGCCTTTCGTCGGCCCAGACACACAGCTGCAATGTGCCCTTGTTTGCCGCATGCCCGGCAGGTAGCGGAGCGGAACTTGCAGTCGGTTCTCCTGTGGCGACCTCCACAGCCGATGCACTTGAGCGGAGCTGAAGAGCTTTCCTTCTGATTTTCTCCCTTCGCGGGGTGTAGACGGTCGACTTCTTCGTCCGGATCCTCCTCGGAGTTTCGTCGGACGTCTTCTTGGTGCACGGACGCACCCTCTGCACTGCTTCTGATCGGCCGCATGTTCTTGACGGCGCCGCCTGCTGCTTCTTCCGCGGTGGCTTCCCTTAAAGCGTCTTGGAAGGATAATTCTTCCTTAGCGAAAAGTCTCTGTTGTAGCTCTCGATGCCTCAACCCGCACACGAATCGGTCCCTCAGTCGTTCCTCGAGGTCCTTGAACTCGCAGGGCTTGGCGGCCTTCCGTAACGCGGCGATGTACTCCTTGGCTGACTCCCCGGACCGTTGATCCCTCTGCTCGAAGGTGTGGCGCCATGAGATAACGGACACCTTGGGGTGGAAGTGGTCCTTCAGCAGCTTCTTCAGGTCTGCGTAGCTTACAGACTCTACTGGAACAGGTGCTGCAAGGTTTTCTGCGATTTCGAAGGCGTCTTGGCCGCAAGCGCAAAGCAGGGTGGCAGCCTTCAAGCTATCTTCCCTCACTTGGTTTGCCTTGAAGTAGTTCTCCATTCTGGATACGTAGGACTCCCACCGCTCTGGATGTGAGACGTCGAATTCCGCAAGCCTTCCGATTTTCGCCATCTTCGGATCTTCAGGAGACGGGTCTATCAGCCAGCCTACCCCCGAATGCGCACTGGATTGGCGGGCAGCTGCTGAGTCAACACCGTTCCTCTTCCGCCGCTCAGGACTCCTTGGGTAAGCTTACACTTTTTCCTTTCCAGGTAGTGCAAGGCATCCCACCCTCGTCGCCAGTGTTGCGTCCTTGGCGGGAAAACAGACACGAGAAGCAGCTGGAGTTCTCAGGTTCTTTTATTCAGCGTTCAGCTTACAGGAAGATGGCTTCAGCTCAGCCCAAACGCCTCACAGCCTCTTATATAGGCAACTCCCGGGTAAATGGGTTACTTTTCCCGCGCCAGCACCCGCGCATGCGCACGGCGCTGGCGACAGCCTGTCTGGTCCCGGGCAGCTTTGCACCTGCCCGGGACTGCCTGCAAACGCCCGAGCCGTTTGCAAGGCTCGGGACATAACAAAAAGGATTACCAAGATGACGCAGTGATTGAGTTCACACGCACTTATCCTGATTTATAAATTAACCTGGCTAATACACCAAACCATAAACTAACAAAACACTTTATGATAAACAATCCATATAAAAAATCAAAATGAATGCTAACTGCAGATAGTATGTTGTGGAATGTATACTGGTGGTTCTTCATTTAATCTGCTTAAGCAAGTTCTATGGATACAACCTAGTTTACAGCAAGAGCTTTTCCTCCCATATGCTCATCTTTTTCATCCATTTTGGATGACAGACTTTCTATCATAAGCCCAAACATTTTGTTCCCCTCTAATTACAACTACTTCCATACTCAGAAGCCCTTTTTGCAAATACTTGTCTTCCAACATTACATCCACCAGTGGCTGTTAAAACATTCCTGGACAGTTACCTGCATCCTGTAAATCCAGCCCCAGAATCAGTGTCTGGTTCTCCACTAGGCAAGGTAGAAAAGTCGAGCAAAATGTGAGCCAGTTCTCAGAGAGACCAGTTAGCAATTCCTTCTAACAGATGTGAGCTCTAGCAACCCTTCTGTTGTAGGTAGCAATTTTATTCTTTCCTTGAACAAGCCCAAACAACTGCAAGTGAGCACTTACTGGTTTAGGGCAGTGGATGTATCTGGCAAGGCTGATGATCAGGTCATGGGTGATTGGATCAACAAGGTTTCTGAAGCTGGCATAGCGATATAAGACATCATCCAGTGAAGTTGATTCCATTCCCAAATCCTGCAGAGGAACAAGTAAATAAACATTTTGAAGACATCAGTGCATACTTAGCTTTCTCAGTTGACTGGATGTATTGATGGGTACAGTCCTGCAAACAGACAACAGTCCCATTACAGTAGCATTTCCATCATCTTTAGGGTTTGAGATTCTCCAGAAATAAGAACTTGTACAAATATACATATGCGCATACACACAAGCAGATGGAGAAAGAGCCACATGGTATTACTCTATTCAATCAACTCAACTTGGGACCTCTGGAGATAATCTGCATGGATGAAATTCATCATTTTGCTAGTTATTGAAGTAGTCTATATTCTGGTCTCATCATATTAAACCATAAGCTCATTACACTGGTTTTTCACAACATGCTAGCCCACAGGAAAGAAATTAACACAATAAATGACCTAGTTTAGGATGTTGTATGAATGTAGCTTTAATATAGCTGAATTGATATTGTTTGGAACTAGGAAGTTCTTGGCTTCTCCCTCCCTCATCATTCATATTCCTTAGCTTCACAGAGAGAAAAATAACAACTGCACTTTTCTCTAGGGGCTGCATTAACACCCGATCATCTGGCTTCCTCTCCCAGCAAATTTGGCTGCTCCCCTTGCACAGAGTGCTTGAACAGGCACCGAAAGAAGATAAGAGCTCTGCACAGAACTGTTTTTCCTGTAATAGGGAACTTTTTTCATGGCAGGATGACTCACACGCAACATGAGTCCAAACCAGACATATGAGAATTTATCTTCTCTTCACATTTCTGTAACTGAAGCAGAATAAAGTATAATTTATTTAATGCTTGCATCAATCATTTTTTAACCTGAAGACCCTCCAGACCATTCCTCAAATCCCCAGCCGATATAGCCCGGTAAATCCCAACCTATTTGGAAAGTGCTGGCTGGATGATTGGAATTAATATATATCTGTCTTGATCTCTGGTCAAATCTCAAGTTTCAGAGGATTAGCATGATTCTAACATTATGAAAGAGGGAGAAAAAAAAGTCTGCATCATCTATGTTTGCAATGCTTGACTTTATACATCTCTATCATGTCTAATTAATATACAATTCCTTAATCCCAAATTCATCTTCTTCCCAAACAGAGCACTTCAATTTTACCTAGATTGCAGTCCAAATCCTAATGTAAAATTTACCCAAGGATGCTGGCTTTGAAGAAGTAAAACAACCTGAATATGTTTGGCTCTTCTGCAAGGCTTGCTCACAAAAAAAGAGACTTCCATGGCACGGTGAGCTGTTAAGTCTGGCAACAGACTTTCATTGATTGCTCAAGCTCATGATAAGGTGGAAAGGAACAATTGTCAGTTTGCTTCAAGGTGTCAGTTATTATCTTTAAAGCCCTTTATAGTGTGGGTCCTAGGTATCTGAGGAGTCATTTTGTCTCAATGGGATTGGTCCACTCCACTTACTTCAGCAGAAGGGGCTTGCTGCAGACCCCATCTGTCAAGGAATTTTGCCTGGTGGGGTTTAGGAGACGAGCCTTATCTGCTGTGGCTCCTGCCTTTGGAACATCCTGTTGCCGGACATGAAATCCATCCCCATCCTTTTGGACCTCTGGAAAGGCCTTAAAGCTTGGCTCTGCTGGTTGACTTGGGGCTCCAATGGAGTGCTCTATGCTAGAGGTGGTCGATTTGGTAAGAGAGAAGACCTCGCTTCACTGCCGTTTGTCCTCTTGGTGTTTAATTCTTACTAATTTTAGTTGTTTTTCTATTTATTCTTTTTATCATCTTGTAAGCCACTTCAGCAAAGAGCCGAGTAGCATTTAAATTTAATAAATAAATACAATAAACAGTCTCTGCTTTAATTCATGGCAGGAATTGCACTTGGAGAGTTCCTTCAGAACAACATAGCCTAGCATACTTTTGATGAGAAATTCAATACTATTCAGCTTTTTGAACTAGCTATGCATCCATCAAGCAATGAGATCATTTCCACCTTCATTCTTATCCATTCTGGCAAATTTTTCATCTCCAGCATGGAGCAAAGTACAAAGCAAATCAGACCTGAAATTTGTCTTTCAGAGTGAATACATAAGCCATCATTACTGGCCAGAATCCCCTGCTACGCGGCATGACTATTTGGTACATTTAAAAGTGAAATGCATATGAGACAAGATTCAAAAAGCAACTTCTTTTATGCCTACTTAACTGACAGATACAATAGTACTAATAAAAGAGAATATTTGTAGCTCAGGGTTGACATTGGGGTCCTTGGTGCTCTCTAAGTTGATTGTTTTCTTGCAGACGTTTTATTAGATTTATCAGCTGGCCCAAAAAGCAACAAAAAGACCCAAGCACCTCTCCACCAGCAATCAGCACCCAGATCAGCATAGATTAACTCCAAGGTTAACATCAGGCCAACAATCAAGTAAACAATACCCCAATCAAGAAACTGCCAAAGAAGCCAACAGTAGACAGCCCAACCAAAGAATCTCTAAGACCACCCCCACCCACCCAGACAGGACAAGCCACTAGAATATAAACTGACAGCAAACTGCACTTCTTACTAGCACTGATGATGTTACCTAGTTTGGGTAATGAAACATCTGCAAAAAAACAAACAAGCTCAGAGAGCTCCAAGGGCTCCTCAGATACAATAGTTTTATGGAAGTATTTGGCAACATTATAGTTATTGATGCAAATCATCAAGGCCCATTGTTTTTATTTTTTTAGGCAAAGCAATTTTGCTTCAAACCAATTTTATTTACAAACACTCTCAGAAATTGAGGTTATTCAACAGGAACAACAACATACAAAGTCTAAAATCTTGCTTCTTCCCATAAGAAACTAAGAAACAGCAATCAGTGGGCTGTCTCTTTACAACATACCTTGCATTTAACTGTCTCACCAGCAGACCATTCTATAAAGCAGAAGAGAAGGATGACAACTTCACTTACTTAGTGAAGTACAAGCTGCTTTTTTGAACGTAAGCAGTGTGCTGTTGGACCGGACCCCTGGCCCATCTAATTCAGCAGACTGTTCTCATGATGGCCAATCGACTGCAAAGGAAGCCAGTCTGTATTTCCCCAAAAGATTTTCTACGTTTCATAAGTTTACTAGTAACAGATGGCAATGACAAATACAGTATTAGGTAAGATAGCAGTTTTAAACAATTTTAACCATAAGTGATTATCCTTAGAAAGTATATGTTTCGCCTGAAAATTAGCTTGACTTGAGAAATTTTTTAATTCATTTTTTTCCAACAACCTTCAGCATTACAAATAGTTGACTTACAAGAATTGTTGGAAGTTATGACAGCTGTCATAAAAAGGGCCCATTCCAGTCACATGATCATGATCTGGATGCCTGGCAACTTGTTCATTCTTACAACTGGCTGCCAAGTGCCCTGGAATCATGTGATTGCCATTTGTCACCTCACGCCTGGACTACTGCCCTTGTCACCTCACGCCTGGACTACTGCAACGCGCTCTACATGGGGCTACCCTTGAAAAGTATTCGGAGACTACAGTTGGTCCAGAATGCAGCTGCACGAGTGATAGTGGGTGTTCCTCGGTACATCCACATTACACCTATCCTCCGTGAGCTGCACTGGTTGCCTATTGGTCTCCGGGTCCAATTCAAGGTGTTGGTTATTACCTTTAAAGCTCTATATGGCTCAGGGCCAGGCTATTTGCGAGACCGCCTACTACCTCATAGTTCCCTTCGTCCGGTTAGATCCCACAGGCTGGGCCTCCTTCAGGTCCCGTCGGCCAAGCAGTGCCATTTGGCGGGGCCACGGAGGAGGGCTTTCTCTGTGATGGCACCCACGTCTTGGAACCATCTCCCCCCGGAGATTAGGACCGCTTCCACCCTGTTGGTTTTCCGCAAACTGCTTAAGACCTGACTTTTCTGGCAGGCCTGGGGTTTATAGAATCTGACCCCTGGATGAATGTTATTGTATTGTTTGTTTTGTTAAGTTATATTGTGCTTTTATTGTTAGCCGCCCGGAGTCCTGCGGGAGTGGGGTGGTCTATAAATTTTAATAAATAAATAAATAAATAAATAAATAAATTTTCAGTCTTCTCTGTCAGCTTCCCCAGAAAATCAGTGGGAAAGCCAGCATGGAAGGTTGCAAGCTGCTAGCACCTGCCAAGAGGGCTCCTTCTCATCTCTTGGGGCTAGCTGAAAGAGCTGCCTGCCAAGGGGAGCTGAATTCCCTCAGTGAGCTCAGTTCCTCATGATCTGAGCTCTGTTTCTGCACCCCATGGAAGGAGTTCCCTTCTGGACATGGAGAAGAACTGAGTTCCTTTGACGGCGTAGAGAAATGGAGCTGATATCATGAAGATCTGAGGCCCATTCCTGGATCCCGCCAAAGGCATTCCCTTCCATGTACAAAGGGGAGCTGATATCATTCAGCAGGCAGCTCTTTCAGTGAGCCTCTAGAGAAAAGATGGAGCTGAAATCCAAGCAGAGGCAGTGCAGTAAGGTTAGAAGTGAAGAGTGCCTGAGATGGGTAGGGAAAGCTTTGAGAAGCCTGGGGAAGGTTACATGTGAGTGTCCCTTCATTCAATGGCTCAAAATCCTACATTTTGGTATGGAGGATTCTCAGCAGAATCTCCCAGGATCTCCCTCCCCCCCCAACCTCCACCCCTAAGACACTCCTTGTTTCATACCTGGGACTCTGTCCATTTAATAACCCACACAATCACTTAACACACAATCACTTAATGATTGCACTCATTAAGCCAAGCAATCACATCGGTAGTCATATAATACCTCAAATAAGGATAGCTTCACTTAAGATTCCAGGCTCAATTGTGGACATAACTCAAGGACTATCTGTAGCAGTATGTTGTAAACTACAGTGAAAAATCATTTGATCATTAACATGGAGGATGCAGAAAGCTTCTGCAGTCAGGGGGAGAAGACTAGGGAGTAAAGTCAGCCCACCTCACTTGATAGATGGGGTATCTCAAGGATTGGTTCTATCCCTTCTGCTTTTTTAATATTTATATGAAGCCACTGAGAGAGGTCATTCAACAAT